TGTTTGTGTTGTTGGATTTCTGTTTGGGGCGCGGGCGGGTGGAGGGTGGAGGGTGGTGATGGTGATGGGGGTAGTCGGGTGGGGAGGAGGGCGGGATGGTGGCTGGTTCTTCGTCATCGTGGTTCTCGTTTTGGTAGCGGGATTTGGGAGGTTTGAGGGATTCGCCGAGGTAGGCGAGCTGGTCTTCGTCGGTGATGCCCATGGCTTTCATGGCTCGTTTGAGGTCGAGGTCGCCGGCGGTGGTGGTGTATCGGGATGGGTAGGAGCGGCGTTCTTTTGCACGCGGGCTGGGACTTGGTGGCTCGTCGATGTCCGCGGTGTTGTCGTCTTCGGGGTCTTTCTGGGGACTGTTCTGCCCGAAATCGAAGACATGCACACCGGTGTAGTTCTTGCGAGGGCTCTCGCTATGGCGCGCGCGAACCTGGGTGTGTGGGAGGCTCTCTATCGCGGTAAGCTTGATCTTGAGTTGGTCGATCTGCTCCTGCATGCGGTGGCGTTCCTCATTGAAGGATTCTTTTAAACTCTCCTCGTGATCGCGATGCTGCTGAGAGGCGTTCTTCAACCGTTCGCGGTACTCTTGGATGCGCGTTTCCAGTTTAGCCTCGCGCTGCTTCAGTTTGGCTTCCTTCTCTTTGCGGCGTCCTTCGTATTTGCTCATCTCCTGCTTCACACGGGCTAGGGTCTGCTTGAGAGACGCGTTCTCCTTCTGCAACTCGCAGGCTTTCTGTTCAGAGCTGCGCGCGAGATCTTGCAGTTTGGTGAAGTCGGACTGCTGAAGCTTCATATCGTCGATCTTGGCTTTCGCTTCGTCCAGAGCCTGCTGGGTTTTGCGGAGCTCTTCTGTAGTCTTCTCTGAAGAACTTTCGGATTCAGATTGCTCAGCGATATCGTCGACTTCATTCCCCACGACGCCGTGTCGTTCCAGCAGTTTGCGTAGTGAGTTGACCCGGTGTTTGTACTGCAGAGCCAACGCGGTCTGCTTGGTGAGGTCCTGCACCAATTTCTCTTTATCGGCATTAGCGCTTTCCCCAACCATGGTCGATGCTAGATGGGTAACATGGCGCTCCATCTCAGACACCTTGATCTCCTCCTCCCTCAACTTATCGGCGAGTCGCGACGCTTCTTCATCCTTCTTCTTGGCGTATGTTTTCGCGGCCGAGCGGTACTGGATGAGCTTCTTGATTTCCCACGTGGTTTTTGTCCGGTAATTATCAAATTCGGCTTTCCAGTATTTCCCCGACTGCGACCGTGGCTCATCCAAGTTGATGGTATCGTCGTTGTCATCTTCCGTTGGCGATGGTCTGGACCCCTCCGATGAGGGGTTGGGCTCGAGGTCCTGTGACGAAAAGAGCCCCGTGCCCTTGGACTTCTCTCGCGAATCCATCAAGGCTTGCGTCAGTTTACTGCGAGGTTTGAACTTTCCGTCCGACGAGGTGGCCGACCACTGGCTGGAGAAGTTGTTGGAAGAGGAGGTGGGGGTTTTGTTAGGTTTCGTGAACGGGTCTTCCCGCTTGCGCTCGTTATCGACGACACCGTCGCCGAACGACACGGTTTTGCGACGGTTGGATGCGGTTCCGGGTGTTACGAGGATACTTTTTGTAGGCGATGCCATCGCGTTCATTGCCAGATCCAAGTCGGCTTTGGAAGCCTTGAAAGCATCCCCTGTGTTTCCACTGGATGGTTTCAACGTGATGTGATCATTCAGGAGCTGATTGGTCGAGGGATTCTTCGTCTTCACAGCAGTAGTAGCAGTAGTAGTACGGTGGGTGGACTCGTCGTCATCGGCGCCTGGGGTACCAAACAAGGCGCTCTTGAAAGCGCGGATCGCAAACACGGGAGCGGGCGTCTCGGGTGGCTCTCCAGCCCTTGAGTTGTCTATGGGGATAAACGAGTTAGAAAAACAAGTCAGCGCGCGATGAGCGCGGGTGGGAAACAAGGCCAGAAAAATTGGAAGGCCATTATTGGGCCGTATCTGGAGGGAGGTGGAGGGAAGGGCGCGCGCACGCAGCAGCAGCAGCAGTAGGGCGGGCAGCAAGCCATACTACTCGTAGCGACCAGCAGAAAGTACAGAGGGAAATACACGCACCTGCGACCTGGTCTTCCTGCCCAGTGATCCACCCCAGCATCGCGTCTGCAGGGGACAAGGTATCCGGCGATTCACCAGCAATCAAATTATGGGACTGGACGAGACACGCATGGCACCAGCAAGACCATTGGGGGGCCAGAGGATTGACGTGGAACGCTGTGCTTTGTTTACGGCGATGATGCGCCAAGTCACGAGCTGCCCGCCCCAAAGGCGGTGGGCGGAAAAACGACGGGGCGGCGCTTCGATTGGGCGTTCATATACTCGCTGTCGGGTTACCGCTCTTTTCCTCTCTTCCCGTCTTTTGACTGCTAGACTAACTCTCGCCGTTTCCTCCCCCTCCCTCTTCCTCCGGTCTAATTACCTTTCTCTCTCTCTCCACATATACTTTCCCACCTTTCTTCCCTTTTGATTCCTCTGCTTTAGATATGTTCTCTACTGAGCTATAGAGGGCTGCAGCTTCGGCTGCATCTTTGTCACTAATTTCCGTGGCAAAGGCCAATCTCGATCACGGTGCATCCACTATCTTCACCGCCCGACCAGCGCCCCGCTATGCCTCACAAACAGAAGAAGAATTTCAGCAATGCCCCCAAGCACGGCTCTCCCCGAGCGGAGAAAAAGCAGCAGCTCCGGCCAGACTCGCCGTCTTTCTCGCCGCCGGTAGTTGCCCCCACCAATTACCAGGAGATCCACCAGAATGAAGTCGAAGCATTGCGCTCCATCTACGGTGATGACTTTGAGGAAGTGCAGCACAGGCGTTCTGCCTGGCAGGTATGTGATTGTCGCATTGATATCGCTCTAAGGCATTGCTGACCAAGAAGCTCTATAGCAATCGTCCGAGGTCTCGTTCAAGCTTCATTTACGAGCATCGTCCAATCCCGACGTTCATCTGGAATTGCTCGTCGAGCTGCCCACCACCTATCCCAAGACCTACCCCAACCTATCCCTGGAAAACTTAGACGATCTCCGGAAAGGTGCTCGATCGAGAATTCAAGACATTATACAGAATAAGCCGAAGACGCTCCTCGGCTCGGAAATGATCTATGAGCTGGCCGTGTCGATACAAGATGTCTTGGAAGATGTGGCTGAGGCTCAAGCTCAAGACAAGGATCTTCCGAGCTTAGAGGAGGAGCGAATGGAACAGGAAGCCGCCGCAAACCAGCGAGCGGAGCTGGAGCGACAAGAGGAGATCCGGAAACAGGAGGCAGCCACAGCTGAAGAAGAGCGTGCCCTACAGCAGCTCTTGGAGGACAAAGTCCGAGAGCGGGCCAAGGCACGGCTGTCCCGGCGTAAAAGTCGCACCCCTGGACTGGATGCGAATGGGGACGCTGATGCTGTGGAGAACATTCCGGGTGCAATCACCTTCGACCCTCCGTTAGCTATGACGGATTCCGACCAGGCCACCCTGGTCTTCCGCGCAGTGTACGGCAAATCGCTTCTCCAGATCGGACCGGGAAAGGAGACGTATACCGTGAGACCGGTCGTCTCCGACAACCGGTCCCATGCGCCTCTACTGGTTCTGAGAGAGATTTCACTGGATGAGAAGGGAGTCGAGCCCCTTCTGTTCCGAGAGAAGATGCGCTCGAGTGAGGACAGGCTGGAAGGCCTGAAGAAACTACGGCATCCGAACCTTGTGGATTTTGTTGGGTTCAAGATAACTCGACCCTTGAGCATGCAGGATGCTCAGGACAGCATCTGGACTGTCTATGCGCTCCAGGAGTATTCGAACAAGGGAACACTGGCCGAGTTTCTGGATATTGTGGGAACCGTCCCAGTGGAAGTGCTCCGCAGCTGGACGATCCAGCTGCTGGAAGCCTTGGAGTTTTACCACCGCAGTGGATTTGTTCATGGCAATATTCATTGTGGTCGCATCCTATTGTTCAGAACTCGTACTGGTGGGACCATTGTGAAACTGCGAGCTGGCATTGAAGAAGCCCTTCCTGATTCACCTGCCAGCAAACGGTTGCTCACAACGTCAAAATCACCATTCTGGATGCCCCCGGAATTAACACACGGGACCGCACCGCTGACCATGAAGACAGACGTCTGGGACCTGGGTATCGTCTTCCTTCAGATGGGATTCGGAATGGATGTGCTGCAGCGTTATACGTCAGCAAATGCGCTGATGGGCACGCTAGGCCTAACGACTGCTTTGCAGGATCTCCTGCATGAATTCTTTAGGCCCGATCCGAAGAAGCGGCCGACTGCTTTCCAACTGCAGCCTTCAGAATTCTTCCGAGTGGACACTCCCTTGATTTCCCGCACAAGTGCCTCAAACTCAATCTCCCTGCCGAGGCGTCCACGGCTCGACTCCTTGA